TATACTTTCCTCATGCAAGTACTCTCTTTCCCTGAGAAAATCTCATCTACCTCCAGCGGGAAGCCCCACAGCAATAACCCCAGGGTGGCATTTTGACTCTTCTGGGCTGTAAGCATTTCCCTTTGCAGCCTCCTTCTTCCATGACAAGAAAAAAAATTTTAGTTTTATCTTACAACTTATGTAACAGACTCTAGGAACAAATTTCAGAGACCCCTGTATGTTATTTTTTTTAATACTTTCCCTTTCATGTTTTAGAGTCTAAGGCCAATAGGGCTTAATGACCTTTCTGAATTGTTTCTCAGAAATGACAGAGTTTCCGGAAGACAAAGGAGTAGAGATTCTGAAGACCCTGGGCAGACTTCCTGAGGCCATAACTCACCACCCCTCAAAAGCTGCCTCCAATGCAGTGGCCCCTAGTTGGTTACACCACGACCTGCAGCAAAGCACAGTGGCCCCTCCTTAGAAAGCCCATGGTCTCCATTAGTCAGGGACAGGTGTCCTCAAACTACGGCCCGGCCCGAGGGTCACATGCAGGTGTTTTCGCCCGTTTGTTTTTTTACTTCAAAATAAGATATGTGCAGCGTGCATAGGAATCTGTCCATAGCTTTTTTAAAACTATAGTCTGGCCCTCCAACAGTCTGAGGGACAGTGAACTGGCCCCCTGTTTAAAAAGTTTGAGGACCCCTGGTCAGGGAGATGGATTTGAGACCCGAATCCCAGTTCTCCTGACAGATATCTTTGGTAATAAAGAAATCCTTTTCTTCCTTGGTGTCCCCATTGTCTCAATAATTGGATCTTTGTATGGTGAGCAACTGGACCTAGGCCAAAACCCCCCTGCAGCTTCAATAACACTTAGATGGTGCAAAGATGAATATATTAATATTATATACTAAAACATTTTCTTCTACCTAAAAAATTTTTTTCCTCTATTGATTTTTAAAGAAATTAAAACATTTTCATGGACCCCTAAAACATTGTGGACCCTATGCATTGTGTCTATGGTGCCTAACTGATACGTTGGTCCTTCTCTCACCCCCATACACATTTCTCCAGCGTGCAGAAGGTGGGGTGTGGGAGGACCCTTGGCCCTATAACATCAGTGATCAATGGTAGACATGGTTCCTTTGCAGGTCCCTTAAGCTTGAGCTGCAAACATATCTACTTATTCTATTTAATTATGGAACTTGTAAGAGTAGTACATGTACCTCTCCCAAGGACAAGCAACTTATAAGGGGGGGTAGGGCTCAGTACTGCCTAAACTCACACTGGCAAATGAAATACTTCATTAATGAGCAACGTTCCTTCCCTTGCCCTCCAAGTCAGCACTTCCCTCATTGTTTAGAGTTTCTTTTGGTGTCTTTCCAGCTCTACCTGGGGGCCTACCAAAATAAAAAACAACGTTATATTCTCTCAGCATTCGCAGCTTACTTTTTTACCCCAAGGAAATGATCTAAATTTATGACTATAGTAAGGACTTAATTAGAGCTTTTGATTTTCTCAGTCCTGGTTGGGGGGATGGAGGAATACCATTCATCAGCAACCATATAACATAAGGGAGTATTACCAGGAGTCTATAACAAACTGGCCTAAGATCTACAAATTTAAAAGCTATTGATCTCAATCTGAAAAATTGGGGACAGTACTCTTGCTGTGTGTCCACTGGACTCAGCCCTACTAATTCCCTGTTGAACTCCTGCCTCAAATACGGTAACTATGACCCCAATGTGCCCTGTTGTCAGGCTTGATGGCCAAAGTCAAGTCTTCCCAAATGGAGTTATAATAGCTGAGATTTCTCAAGGTAATAAAATTTAAATTTGGTAAGATCCTAAGTAACTGGTTCTGACCTTGTTTTAGCTTAAAAGAATGCTAATACATGTGGCTTAATCATTGAAGGGAAAATTCCTGAGAGGTGTAGGTGAGAGGAGTCAGTGAGTGACTCAGCTCCAACAGGACTGCTCTGTTCTACTCTGCTTCACATACTGGAGTTCTACATAAACTTTTGTTTGAAAATTAGGTTCTTTCCTAAAAAAAACAAAAACAAAAACACATCAGAGGTTTGAAAGCCACCAATGTAGTCTTTTTTTCTTACTTTTAGGCAAGAAACTACCTAGACAACTCTAAACAGAAGCGTAAAGATTTAGAATGGCAGTATTCCATCCCATCTGAACTCAAGGTAGTGTTCAGTGGGGAAAAGTAGCCTTGGAGTCCAAGAGACGTAGAATCAACCTTAGGTCTGCAGCAACGACCTTAGCTCTAAAATGGGGATAATGCCTGCGTTATCTATTGCTGCATAGCATAACCCCAAACCCTAAAACAATAAACATTTATTATCTCACAGATTCTGTGAGTCAGGAATCCAGGTATGGTTCAGCTGGGGGCCTCTGGCCCAAGGTCCGTCATGAGTTTGCAGTTAAGATGTCAGCCAGGACTGGGGTCTCATCTGAAGGCTCAAACTGAGGAGAATCGCCTCCAAGCTCACTTGTTTGGTTGGCAGGACTCAGTTCTCAGCACATTGTTGGACTCAGGGCTTCAGAGGCCTCCCTCAGTTTCCTCCCACAGGGCAGGTCACTCACATCAGTTGGCTTCTTTCAGAGTGAGAAAGCTAGAGGGTGAGAAAGGATCCTCTAAGACAGAAAGGTGGTCTTTCTGTAACCTAATCTCAGGAGCTTCAGCCTTTCACTTCTCCCATATTCGATTAATTACAAGTGAGTCCCTAAATCAAAACCTAACTTGAGGGGAGGAGATTCCAGGACAGCATGGATACCAGCAGGCAGGGACCATTGGCTGCCTATCACAACACCTTTAAACGAAGAGGAAAAAATAGAAAACATACATGTAGAGCATCCTGCTTATAGCAGGTGCTTAACAAATAACACATATTAGTGAACTAAAACTTCTGGCAAAGAATCCTAATTTAAAAGCCACAAATATGCATCTCTCTAAAAAAGTTTGATAAAACATAAGGTATCTAAAGTTATCTAAAGGTAGTACTCTGTGATCCCCAAGGTGGTTGTGCCTACTTAATATTTCAGAACAAGTTTCAGCTAATGGAACAGAGATTTCTAAAATGTTTACTTAACATATGAGACCAAGAAAATCATAGCGTAAGGGCAGGTGTTCCTAGTTGCTAGGAGAGCATAATCCCTATAGAGATTAGTCATTTTGAAGGTGATGCTGAATAATGACATTTATTTTTAACTGTAGTAATTGTGAAAACAGGTAAAGTATTGAGACCAGAATCTGCAACACTTGCATATTTCAGAAATGAAGAACGTTAAGAAGACTTAGTTCGTGATGTTCATTCCTAACATGTAATCCTCTGACTACTCTGAAGCTCCTACTTAGAGTTTAAATTCTGGATTCTACATATGATCTAATACATTTATCTTGTGTTAGGATTATTTGTCCACAAGTCTGTTTTCCCCAACAAGGGAATCACTTGTCCAACAGAAGATAAACTTTTGAGTGCAGAGTCCTTGTCTTAGTTCTATTTTCATCCCCAAGTCCCAGCAAAGTGCCTGCATATATAAGCCACTCAAGAAATGTTTGTTGAATGTTGATGATTAGTCCAACTCCTCACCCTCCTAAAAATAATTCAGATTAAGATGCTTAGTACTCATGATCTAATGGGGCATTTTTTAAATATATTAGTTGAGATTCAGTAATTTTTAAAAACATTAATTCAAAGATCTCAAAATGGATCCACTATAAAAATTTAAATATTTAAAATTTACTGAAATAGTTTTATAATAAAGTTGTACAGGAAACTAGTAAGTATATGAAATTACTGAGTCCTTTACATTTTTTCCTCTGTTCTCCTTTCTTTAGAAGAGTAAGTTGGTGATTATTGCTACATGACAAAACAGATTTGTTTAGAAGTAGATATTGAATACAGATGAAATATGCTGACCAGGAATGAAAAAAACATCAATAAATGTGATTTTTTTCAAGATGAAAATAGAAGTATTCAGAAGAGCTCGGGAATCTTTTGTAATGAATCAAAGGACAGTTTTATATTTGTGCTGAAATGTTAGTTTATTCCTTAAGTTCCTGACTTTCCTTGTTAGTGAGTTCAGACTTCCTGATTTCACTCCCTATTTGCCAACAGACGCTGCATTTCAAGCTGGAACAAAGGTTTCTTTTCAGCAAAGTGGGAGAGAATGGTGAATATGTTCCTCATTTATCCTACCTCTTTTGTTATCCTTTAACCCTTATCTTCCCTCTACTTTCTTTGGTCTCCTTCCCTCCTCTCCTTCTCTGTCTGAACTTCTTACTTTCTCTTCAAACACTTTGTACTCATTGACTCCCATGTCTTTCCTGTTTCTTTTTTCTCTTCACACCCCATCTATGTTCACCACCTGCTCCATTTTGTAATACACTTTTCTTCTCACTCATTCATTATTGAATCCTCTCTTTTCTTGCCAGTCCTGCTCCTATCCTCAGCTGACCATCATCATTTTTCAGTCTGTACTTAAATGGGCATGTCAGTGTGTGTGTGTATGTGTGTGTTGGGGGAGGGCAGAAAGGAAAGAAAATAGTGCTTATTACAACTTCCTATCTTCCCCTTTCAATAATCGGACCATCAGCTGTTAAGAGCACTTGCCTCCTCTGCCATCTGCCCACCAGCATGTTCCCAGCCTTGATTCTGTGTCTTTTTAAAATGGCATTATTTGATTTAGTGAAGAGGATCAAGAGACAGTACACAGAGAGCATCAGAGCACTCGAGAAAATAAGCCAGACTGAGAGAAAGGAGTATACACTATAATACTTATGCCCTTGGAGATGAATCACCAGGGGAAAGCAGAGAAGCCAGACACGAAAGAGCAAAAGGACAGGCTGAACTGAACCTGCTGCAACACAGAAGAGGCAAAACCATCACATTGCAATTCCCAATCTAGAACTAACCAACGTCCAGAAACTGCCCAGCAAGGAAATATCCTGTGTCATAGGTTATGGTTGAATACATCAGGACACGGAGGGTATAAATTACAAACAAGGAGTCATTTTCCATCTCATTACTTTAATCAGTTTGTCAAAAAATCAGAACACATGTACATAAATACTTGATTTGTTAAAAGAATGTGTAGCACAAAAGCCCCTGAGACACATCCAAGAATGACTTGAAATGTATATACAATGCAATTATTTACCAAACTAATTACTAAGGATTTGGATCCTCCCCCTCATATCTGAGGCATGTGATGCTTTAAGAAAATATATATGTATACTGTATATGTGTGTACATCTATTTTTAAAGCTAAATCAGATTCCTTCTCTGGTGCCTGGATTTCTGCTAGTTTACTGCTCCTGTGTATTAGGTCGGTTCCAGACGGTAAGGAAGGCACATTGGGAAGTGAATTAGCTCTTTAAGCCCTAGGGTGCCACTTAGTAGAAAGACAGCAAGTGGAACAAGAAGGTCCCAAGAGATGATTTTGCCCAACCCCTTCATTTTGCAGTACAAGTGACAGAGACTCGAAGGTGTTGTGGTTTGCACAAGCTTGGCTGGTCCTCCCACTACTTCTGTAAGCTCAGGCAAGTCCTTCAGTGGGTCTGGACCTTGGCTCCTTCCTGTGTAATATGGACTGGTAGAAATCACAGCTAACATTCTCAAGGTGCTGAGTACTTTCGGCGTCTTGTCTAATCCTCTCAACACCTCCATAAATTATATATGATTACCTTTAATGAGAGATGAGACTATTAAAACACAAAAAGCTAAAATAATTTTCCCAAGATCAAAACGATTAGGAAATGTTGCAAAGCTGGTCTAGGAACCCAGGAATATCTGTCTTTAGAATTCTTAAATCCCAATGCTTTAATCCCCTCTAAGAAACCCCCACCAGGTCATTTCCCAAATTCCTTACATCTCTAAAAGTCTAGAGCAGAGTTGGCAAACTATGGCTCTTGGGCCAAATCCAGCCATCCCAGTTGTTTATGCATGATCTGTGTGAGCTTTTGCTTTCCAACAGTGGAGCTGAGTTGGGGGCCACAGACTGCATGGCCTGAAAAGCCTGAAATATTTACTCTCTGGCCCTACACAGAAAACGTTTGCCAACTCCTGGTCTAGTGCCCTGAAAATTTAGAGCATCCTGTAATCGTATAGCAATTTACAATGTACAAAGCACCTTGGCATACATCATCACATTTAATCCTAGTTTTGCAGGGGCATTCATGCATTATAAAGGAGGAAGCTAAAACTCAGAGAGTTTAAGTAACTTGCCTAATCGAGGCCACAGAGGCAGAAAGTGGAAGAGCCACATGCCTAAGTTCTGATTCTAAACTGCATGCTCTTTCCAGGAAGCTACCCTGTCTCCCTGAAATTACTACCAGGGAAGAATCTGGAAAGTGGAGAAAGAACCTCCACTGTGGTTCTTTCACCTGCATTCACATTACTCACCTCCACTAAGGTGAATAATGAAAGAAAGTCAGACTGTCTTCTGATGCAAATATCATTCCAGGGACACTCACGTAATTAGAGTTATCAGGTACTAAAAATTAAATTAAATTTGTAATAAATTTGAAAGAAAAGCTTATGCCTTCAAAGACAGCATGACAGTCACAGGAAATACATTTTGAAATATAAACGATGCATTCATATGCACTTCTGTATTATGTTAAATTTGAACCTACTCAATTTAGAATATGAGAAATAACATAAATGAGTAGTTGCCACATTTCTCTTGCTCTTTGATGAGATTAACCTAAAAGTGTTTTTCCATACTAAAAACTTGCACATGAATAAAAATGCAATTACACTTTCTCATGCTAACTATTTAATAAATATATGGTTAGATTTAAATGGACTTAACTATACAGCTTTACCAAAGCAAAAAAAAAAATCTTTTCAAAGAAAGTATAGTTGCTTCTTTCTACTCTGCAAATTCAAGCTTAATCTAAATGGTAATGATGATTCTTGAAATATGACTTAGCTTTAGGGATTCATCCGAAATACACAATATGAGGCACCTTCCTTTTTATTTCAGATTTATCCTATAATACTCCTTGAGATTTAATTTTAGGCATATAAATGGATATGAGGACATTCTGAAATCACTGCAAAGAAGGAAAAAATATGTATGTCCATCTCATCAATTGGGTGCCTGCTAGGTGTTAGTGACTGTCACTTATTTCCTGAAACGCTCACAATGAACTGTGAAGTATTTTCCTCCCTCATTTTACAGATGAGGAAGCAGAAGCTCAGGGTTATTACCAATAATGCAGCTGGAATTCAAATCTAAACTAGATTACCTTCACAACCTAAACTCTCTCACTGCCCCATGCAGATTCCCAACAAGACCAAGATCTCATAAAAAACCATTCTAAGAACAGAATTTTCTTTGATCTTAATTGGATAGCTGGGATTTTGTAATTACAATTCTGCCCACACTGTAACACTTTAACAAAGAAATTTTATCCACAGCTTTCATTTATAAATTCTCCTTTTAAGGGAGAGAGAAAATTGAAGCATCTAGATTTAAGTGAGTTTTTCAAGTGCGTCTGCAACAATGCACATAGAGTTAAAACTTGCTTTATGACTTAGCTAACTGTACTGATCAAATGTAAAATTACGTCTACAGCAGAACCCTGCATAAAACTAATCTCAGACCCTACCCACAATAACTAGTCACTGTGGACCCCTATAATAAATCGAGGAGAAAACTCCTGTTATTTCAGGCTTTGCATCAACTGGCTTAATCACTGATTTGGGGCATCACTAAGAATTGTCACTTTAATCAAATTGCCAATTGTTTCATCGGTCACTATTTACTTCTTGGCAGTGGCAGATTGTAAGAGCCCTAAAGAGAAGGACCTTGTCTTATACATTTTTCTGTCTTCCCCAGGGCCCCAAGCCACATGTTTGGCACAGAGGAGGCACACAGTGACACCTATTGAATATGTTGCTCATTCAACAACTTGTCAAGTCAATGCATATATCTTTAAGATCAGTCCCACAGCACAGTCTCGGGCGCTAGAAATGTGAGGACACGCTGCACTGCTATGTGGGAGGGGAACCTGCAGGCACCAGAGAGAACTGCAGATTTAGCTTTTACCAAGAGATGAGTAAGTTAACTGTAGGCACTAATTTAGTTTTATTCCCTAAGATCTAAACATTTAACTAAAAAGTGACAGAGAGACAAATATTGCCACTAACAGACACCATGAAACTTTTTTTTCCTTTTACATGATTCCACAATGCAGTATGACCTATTTCACTGTTCTGCAGACAGGTAATGCCAGCAGCCCTGAAGGACTGATATTCCAGTCTAAATTTTGGGTCCATGTAATAGATAATTTTGTGGAAGTGACCTTGTGGCTTCCTTCTTCTGTTTGTAAACACATGTTGGTTTTCTGGCAAGAGGGGAGAAGTTTGCTTCTGCTTTATTTTCATATCTGTAAGTTTAATGTGCTTTAAAAAAAATCCAGGCTACAGAAAAACATAAAGTCAGAAGAAATAAATTAGGAGATGAGTATTCACATTGTAAAGGGAATCTCCATAGGGTTTCATTAAATACTGAATGTCCCAGGTCACGGAATTTGGGATTTGATTTAAATGCAGTTTTGCAGGGACAGAGTTATGTGTAAGTGAGGTACACCCATATATTCATCTGAACTCTCCTCCAAGGACAATCCAGCATCTTGTTCCATTCATAGGGCAGGGGAACAAATTGTACTTGTTAAAGAAGTCAATGGCTTTTTGGACCGCCCTCCTCACCTTTCTCAGGAGCCAAGGCTTTGAGAAATCCAAACAACAGAAAAAGACCCATTTGTGGGCACAGTCCTTCAACTACCGGCAGGCAACAAGGCTCTTTCTAAAACCAAGGTTTGCCTCACCTTGGTCCAGGGAAACGTGAGTCGAGGAGCAGTGTGTTTGAGATTTGGAGGCTGCTGCGCAGGCCAGAAATACGACCTGTGGCAAACAAGGAAATTAAAAAAAAAAAAAAAACGCCTCAAATGGCTTCTTGTAGCTAAGCTATTTCTTCATCTCTGCACTGGGTACAAGGTGCACAAGGGCCACGTTCTTCACTTCTGAACACTGATGGCCATCAACAGCAGAGGGAACCCAACTGCTTGTCATGCAAAACCAAATATTAATTGGTAATTCACCTTCTTCCTATAGAGCAAAAATGGGTGTTTGGAGAGCTTAGTCCCATTACTCGGCAGTCAAGGAGATGCACAGTAAAATAAAAGAAAAGAAAAAGCCCACATCTTGGCCTCCCTGGGTCATTGCCGGAGAAGGGTGGCTTCACCGTTCAAACCAGCTGGCCAGGTTGCGTATGCTCTTGGGCCGGTCCCCAGCCACCTGCACGGCCTGGCAGGCCCGGCACCAAGGCTCATCCCAGAAAGAGGTGATGTGCACTGCGTAGCTCCGGCGCCAGCTGAAGTAGCGGCGGTAGACTGCAGGGTTGCGGTCCAGGAAGAGCAGGTAGGCGGCCAGGGAAGCGGCACTAGGGAAGTCGTCCACGTGGATGAAGGCGCTGCGGGGCACGAAGCGCTCGTAGTTGGCACGGTCTGGGCCCAGCACCACTGGCACCGCCCCGGCGAGCAACGAGTTGCGCCAGAGCTTTTCCGTGATATAATCCAGGTGCTGAGAGTTCTCAAAAGCCAGGTAGAATTTGTAGCGGGCCACTGTGTGCAGGAGCCCGCTGTCAGGCACCGGCTGTCCTGGCCCGCCCCGGCCGAACACGTCCACAGGTATGTGCTGGCTCAGCTGATGGTAGTAGCGCACCCGGGCCTGGCGCTCGTCCCAGTGGCTCACCACCCAGGCCACCAGCCCGCGTTTCCGGGCCAGCGGTGGGGCCAGACCTAATGGCTGGTCGCTGGGGTGGCTCCTGGGGTAGAGGTAGCCATAAGGCACGAAGACATCCGAGTCGGCCCGGTAGGAGAGCGTCCAGTTGAAGAGGTCACTTGCCAGGTTGTGCAGTCCCGGGGAGTAGGAGGGTGACTCAAAGTTCATCCACACCCAACGTTGGCCCGGGGGTCTGGGGCTCGAGATCGCCAGGGCTTTGGCCGCCGCCGCCGCTTCCTCCTCGTCGTTTAAAACGCGCAGCTCCAGCTCCTCCGCGATGCGCACCCGGGCACCCCAGGGCGGGGGCCAGTCGGGTGGTCCCCTCACGAGGTCACGGTGGTGGAAGAGCACAGCCTGAGCCTCCCCATAGGCCGCGCGGTCGGTGAGCAGGCGGCAGCCGCTGATGTTGAAGCGCAGCCGGCAGTCGGGGGGCTGCCTCGCGGCACCGCTGCGCCCCCCGAAGGGCTCCCACCACAGCAGCACGCCCACCGGCCGCGACGGGGCGGGGGATCCCCAGGGCAGCGGCGGCAGCTGCTCCCAGCAGGCGTAGGCGGCCAGCGCGGTACACAGCAGGCCGGCAGCCGCCAGCGCCGAGGCGGTCCACCGCGGCCCCCGGACCGTGCGCCGCCCGCGCCGCCGCCAGCCCGCCACCGAGCCCCACGGCGCCCCCATGGCGCGCGCAGGCAGAGCCGCGGCCGCTCGCCGCGCGTCCGCTGGCGTGGAGGAACGGCACCGGCTTTCATGCTGCTGCTGCGGCTCCCGCCGTCGCTGCCACCCGCCGCGGGCCCGGGAGCCGGAGGGGGCGGTCTCGGAATCCAGAGGCCGCGGGCCGGCTCCCCTCCTCCTGAGTCCCGGGCGGGGCGCGCCGCCAGAGCGAGGTGAGCCGGCCAGGCAGCGCAGCCGGGCGCCGCCCGCCCCGCCCCGCCCCGATGCCCCTGGCCAGCTCCGGTCGGCCCCGGGCGTCTCTGGCTGCGTCCCCGCCCGCTCCCCACCCCAGCCGGTGCTCCCGGGCTCCCGGGCCGCGCCCCACAGGCGCCTCATCCGCTGCTCAGGACCCCGTCTCAGAGGTCCGGGGCATCTCCGCGCGCGCCCCGCGCCGGCTCTAGCTCACGGTGGCCCGAGCCTTCTCCTTACGCAGTGAAGGCCCAGTTCATCCCTGGGCGCGCGCAGGGGACGCGGGGCCCTCCCAAAGCCGCTGTGGCGCGGGAGCAGGCGCAGGCACGGACGGAGGGCGCACCAGGGGCCCGGCAGAGCCGCCCCGCAGGACCGAGGATCCGAGTCCGCTTCCGGCCGCACGGCCCTGCTACCCGCCAGCGACGCCCGCCGGAGGGAGGGAGTCCGAGAGGCGGCGGGAACGTGCGGGCAGGGGCGCGGCCACCACGTCGCTGGCCAGGACCCCGTGGCCCGCTGAGACCCGCCCGTTGTGGAAGCATCCCACCGCCGCGTGGCCGACGGAGGCTGTGCATTGTGTGAGAAACTAAGTTTTCGGTGTGAATAGTCATAAGAACATTCCCTTTGCCTGCCGCCCCAGCAGAGGATAGAGAAGAACAAAGTGTTTTCTGAGCAATGGTAACTCACACGTCCTTTCCTTTGCCCCCTGCGGAGGATTTCAGACTGCCGCCCGGTGGCATTCCTTGTACTAAGGCGCCGAGGACTCATAAACCAAAGATAAAGATGTGGTGCCCGAGGCACTTGTCTTCAAGGAATTTACTGCCTATTTAGTGAGATTAATGAACATCACTATTAATTTTACAGTTTTACCAAGCACTTAAGAAACAATTTCTGCACTCTTGCAGGCTACGCAAAATACTCTGGGCTAGAAAATGATGACTAAGATAAATATCATAGCACCCAAGATTAGGGTATAGAGACTGAGTGTCACACCGGCCTCTTCAGGTTTACCAATGAGACAACACTCTAAGCATCCACATCTACAGTCCCTTGAGAAATTTTTTACCTCCAGCTTGATTTTGAATTTCTGGGTTTGCTGTTCATGTGTGATATTCAACTTTTTTTTTTTTCAGCAGAGTTATAACTAGGCTGAGGAGTGGGAGGCTGCTGACCTAGGGAGAGGAGGCAGTTTTGAGAGAGTTTTTAGTGGATCACAGCTGTGCATGGGTGAGGTCCCAGGCTAGTGTGATATAAGTTACAGGGTGTTAGAGGAGATATAGACATTGCTGGGAAGAGGGCCAACCTGCCAAGTGTTTTATATGTTATACTTACGGGAAATAAACTTGGGTGTGCCATTTGGATTTATTGTTAAGAATGTTTTCATCAAAAATCACGTACAGGGTGTAAAAACTTCTATAAAAGTGGTTTCAGGTAGCACTGCCTGCTGGCCCATGGCCTCAGCCTGAGAGCTGATGGAGAGCATTAAGTGGTCTGGTTAGGCTCATCAACCTGGTGACATTTCCTGCTACACACTAAAGCCTTTTATAATGTTTCTTGGGTTTTTGGTTTTTTTTTTCAATTTGAAAAATAGAAATGGAAATTTAAATGTTTTATTTTAAAAATCTGAAATGAGAAATGTCAGTAATTTTCCACCGTGATTTTTAATTAAAAGAAAAAGCTATAAATGCACAAATAACTTGTTTTGACCAAATAAAGGGAAAAATGTATTGGCTTTTCTTTTTGTGCAGTTGAAAAATCTATACATTTATGCACATTCCTCTTCTACTTCAGTTAAATAAGGCATCATAGTGAGAACTACAAATAAAATTGTAAGCCCCCCAGCCAACTGAATGGACCCTTTTTTGGTTAAGGGGACCCCAGAAAAACCTTAAAAACTGAGTTTCTGGCCTGGAGGGTGCAGGAGGTCAGAGGCATGACCCTTTCCCTTTATGGTTTAGACACAACCACTGACCAGCATTAGTGTTAAAATAGAGAGCATAAGACTGACGGAATGGACTCCTGTGACAATAAGATACTAAATAAGGCCGGGTGTGGTGGCTCATGCCTGTAATCCTAGCCCTCTCAGAGGCCGAGTCAGGAGGATTGCTCGAGGTCAGGAGTTTGAAACCAGCCTGAGGGAGACCTGTCTCTACTAAAAATAGAAAGAAATTAATTGACCAACTAAAAAAATATATATACAAAAAATTAGCTGGGCATGCCTGAAGGCCCAGCTACTCAGGAGACTGAGGCAGTAGGATCGCTTGAGCCCAAGAGATTGAGGTTGCTGTGAGCGAGGCTGATGCCACGGCACTCACTCTAGCCTGGACAACAACGTGAGACTCTGTCTCAAAAAAAAAAAAAGATACCAAATTATAAACAGGACCTAAGGCCATGCCAGGCAAGGATTAAGTCATGCACCCCAACATTTAAAGACTAAACTCTTTTCCAACTGCCACAGGGCTTTTTTTCTCCAACAGCTAAACACGCCCTGGCCTTGAAATGAGCAATATTAAAACAGTTGCAGCTCAATGATCCCCAGAGGCTGACTGACCAACCTACCTGTTTCACTAGCCATAACTACAGCTTTGGACAAGAGACTGATTTCAGTAACTTTCTCTTAATAAGGCCCCCAACTGGTTCTGGTTGATTTACAGAGGCTGCACGATTGAGTGCCTTCATGTCCCTGCATCACCTTTTGACATATAGGGCCTGATTGTGGTACATTTAAAGTTAAGTCTCCACCTCAAAGTGAGCATGGGCTGTATATAACATGCATCTTTATTCAATACACACACCCCTTCATGAATATTCATAGATCCTCCTATAACCTGTTGAATATGTATATTTGGCCTACTCCTTCAGCATTGATTCCTGTTCCACCTCCCTCTTCCTCAAAGTGTCTGCCTTTCAGTCTCTGCCAGAGGCTGTGCTTCCCAGCCTGTCAGGATGGCCACTTTGCAAGCTGTAACCCTTTGTAAGAAATAGTCTTCTTTCCAAATTCATAAAGTGTGTGATTTCTAAGTTGGCAATAGATAGAGCCTAACATGTGTCTTACACATGGTAGGTAGACATTTGGTGTTCACTGGCCTGTTTACTTCCTTTCCTCACTCCCATTTTCCCTTAAGCCTCTAGATGTTCCAATGAAACCAACTTTTTGTGTGAAGAATGGCTCCGCTCTTGTGAGTATAAATTTTCATTTTGTCCACTTACCTTGGTAGGGTTCAGGACCACAAGCTGCTCCTGCATTGGTCTTATCTTGGAGTGGGGGAGAGGACACTAGGCAGGAGGGTGTGGCTGGGTCAGTGGAAACCAGTCATGACTTCTCCACAAACTACTGATCGAGGGCCATGCGTACTGATTTATTCACGGGGCAATGGATTGTTCTTATTTTAAAAGAGACAAGGAAGGGGGAGGAAAGAAGTTATGGGAAAATAATAAAGCCAGGTGTTCTCACTTATTCATTTAGCAAATTGGGAAACATGAAAAACGCCGTTTCTACCCTCAAAAACCTATGAGAGAAACAGATAGTGGGGGAGGCAGGCACCGTGGAAGGCTTTGAGAAGGTGGCCCCTGGAACAATTAGGAATCGTTCAAATGGAGAGGCTAAGGACTGAGATGCTAGTCCAAACAGGAAGAGCAGCACCGCAAAGGCCAGGCAGGGAGGACAGGGACAGTAGATTAAGAATAATTAGTGTTTAGTTTGGCGAAGGAGATGGGATTTTATCCTGAAGATTGTAGAGAGTCCTTGGGAGGTTTTAGCAAAGCAAGGGATCAGTATAATGAGATTCATATTTTTTAAATGAATTATTTTTATCGTATATAGGGTGAGGATATGGACAGGGGCATGAGAAGGGCCTCTGGTATGCTGGCCATATTTATTGTAGGTACTGGTCGATGGGTATGTTTGGTTGAGGAAATTCATCAAGCTGTATGTTTACATATGTGCTTTTATATGTATGTACTTTATATGTATGTTTACATATGTACTTTTATGTATGTGTTATTTATAAGGCCAACCCTTTCCTCCAGGAAACCTTTCTGGATACCCACGAACATACATCCAGGGTAGTTTACACAGCCCTCCTGTGTGCTCCCATATATACGTCTTACAGAACATCATGAGGCATCCAACGATCATGACTGTTTTATTCACAACTCCATCCTCAGAACCTAGCACAGAACCAGGCATTTAGCAATGTTCATCCTCTCAGTGAATACTCACTGAATGAATGCCCTTAATGTATTACCAAATTATCTCTCTGTCTCTGTTCTCCATTAGAAAGTGGGATGGTAGCAAGGGATCGTGGCTATGTGAATGGTTTGCTGTGACCTTGAGACACTTTTTAAGCTTTCAGTGGCAATTGTTGTATTAATCAGCACACTGGTGCCAAGTGCCAGAATTGCTGTCAAATTACACTGCTCCAATTGGCCCATCCTGGACCAAGTGCTCATTCTTGAAGCAATCACTGTGGTCAGGAGATGTGGACTCTCTAGACCCTCGTCTGAAGCTAGAATCAGGCCCATCTAAACCTTCTGGAATAACAATGGGGTGGGAGGGTAGTTTCCCAAAGAAAAAAATGAGGTATTGTTACCCAAAGATGAGGGAAGGGATGCTGGGCAGGGAAAATCATATCTACTACCCATATGTAAGGAATTATTACTGTACTTAAAATGAAAAGGCTGGCCGGGCGCGGTGGCTCACGCCTGTAATCCTAGCACTCTGGGAGGCTGAGGCGGGCGGATTGCTCAAGGTCAGGAGTTCGAAACCAGCCTGAGCAAGAGTGAGACCCCGTCTCTACTATAAATAGAAAGAAATTAATTGGCCAACTAATATATATATAAAATTAGCCGGGCATGGTGGCGCATGCCTGTAGTCCCAGCTACTCGGGAGGCTGAGGCAGAAGGATTGCTTGAGCCCAGGAGTTTGAGGTTGCTGTGAGCTAGGCTGACGCCACGGCACTCACTCTAGCCTGGTCAACAAGCGAGACTCTGTCTCAAAAAAAAAAAAAAAATGAAAAGGCTGGACTAAATGAACTCCAAATCACCTTAGAACTTTGAACATTCTCTGATTCTTTTTAATTGGGTAATAATAAGTGATTGATTTCTTATGCATTTAAAGGCCTCTCAGTTTCTACAAAATATTGCACAGGAAGAACGGGCTTTCAGTTGCAAGCATGAAAACAAGGTCAGGTATAGAGAAGGGTCTTTGGACCCTTGAGGGTTGCTAAGGTAGGGTAGAAGAAAGCTCCATAATTCAAGGCTCAATTTATCAAGGTGAATGAGCAATCAACTCACAACATACCAGAAGTGACCTATTTGGTTCCAAACTTTTATATGGGACAGAATTCTGTAGGAGCAAAAACCAGGCCAACTATGGTTCCTAACGTTCTAACTCATTCTTTATTCTTTCTCAAGGAAATAGTTGATTTGATAGTAAGATCACCGCAGTTTGTTTTAAGCCTCCCCTAGGGCTACTCACCAGGGAGAGCTTTGAGATTTCCTATGAAAGTCCTGGAATATATTCTGACTGTCTAGGTTTCCAGGCAGAACCAACCTCTGTCAGCATGAGCTCCATGAGAACCAGGCTGTCCTCGAATGAATTGTTTGGAACTGAGATTTTTATGACTGAACATTGATCTGCCAAGCATACTTTAAAATTTTTTCCTTGAAGAGAGAAAAAGGGGTCAGTGAACAGGTGTGGTTGGATTGGCTAATCCATGTGCAAACAGGTGGATATTGTTTCCTTTGTCAGGTACAAATTTTTAACTGTGTGTAATGGGACAAATGAGTATGGAAAGGACTGTTGGTTAAAGATTAAGAATTGTACTAAATCCTTGATAGAAAAATAAAACCTAACTCAAATTTATAAGCACTTTTCTTTTTATCCAAGTGCAAAAATTTACTGGCCATAAAAGAAATCATTATAGAAAGTCAATATGGGAAATTATTATATTTACTTTAGCATTTTATTCTTTATACACTTAGGTTCTTCCTGGACATTTACTTGGCTGAACAGGTAATGCAATAATTTTTTTTTTTTTTTTTTGAGACAGAGTCGCACTTTGTTGCCCAGGCTAGAGTGCCATGGCATCAGCCTAGCTCACAGCAACCTCAAACTCCTGGGCTCAACTGGTCTTCTTGCCTTAGCCTCCTGAGTAGCTGAGACTACAGGCACGTGCCACCATGCCCAGCTAATTTTTTCTATATATATTTTTAGTTGTCCAATTAATTTATTTATATTTTTAGTAGAGACAGGGTCTCACTCTTGCTCAGGCTGGTTTTGAACTCCTGACCTTGAGCGATCCGCCCGCCTTGGCCTCCCAGAGTGCTAGGATTACAGGCATGAGCCACCACACCTGGCCCATTGCAAGAATTATGGATGTTCAGGAAAATGCATATAGTGAAACTTTCTGGTTAAAGTCAGAAGTACAGTCATCCTTCCATATCTCTGGTTTTCAAGGACTCCCCACAGATACCAAAATCCACAGTCATTTAAGTCTCTTATATAAAATGGCATAATATTTGCATATAACCTATGTACAA